GTGTGTGTGTGTGTGTGTGTGTGTGTGTGTGTGTGTGTGTGTGTGTGACGCGCGCGTGCGCGCTCTGGGTCCCCCCTCCACAGGGCCCACTTAAAGGAGCCTGAAGCGTGTCAGGGTGAATTTGTTAAATTATTTAAACAAGCAACTAAGCATCACGAGGACCCCAAATTATTTCGGGGAAGATGAAAAAGGATTTGGTTAAGAAAAAGACTCAGGGTCTAGCAATTTTAAATTGGGGTTCAAAGAGCCACACCTGTGCAGAAACTATCCCAAGTTAGGCAGAGGCAGATCTTTCTCCCGTAGTCTTGCTGGTATGTCCATTTGCATTCCCAAAGGCAACTCATCCTCCTACTTTATGTGCATACAAACATATGCAAAGATAGGTTCTCAATGCCACCCTTCTTTTACACCAAAGCAGCATATTATGCACTTGGTTCTGGACCTTGGATCCACCCCTCTCCTCATCACACTCCTTGGAATTTTCCTGGTCCTCGAAGATGTGTCCTTGTTATTATTTTTTTTAATATTTTATTTATTTATTTTGGTAGAGACAGCGAGAGAGGGAACACAAGCAGGGGGAGTGGGGGAGGGAGAAGCAGGCTTCCCAAGGAGCAGGGAGCCCAATGCGGGGCTCGATCCCAGGACTCTGGGATCATGACCCAAGCCGAAGGCAGACGCTTAACGACTGAACCACCCAGGCGCCCTGTGTCCTTGTTATTTTTAACAGCTGTGTTGTATTCCACCTTCTGCACCTCCTGTAACGTTTCCCCAGTCCCTTCCTGCTGCCATGGGATTCGTCCAATCATCTACTGTCACAGACGGCGCTTGGGCTGGAACATCATGTTGCCTGGACTTAAGCGTTAGGTCGGAGGGCACCTGCCTTTGTACCTACAGTGGGTGTTTGTCTTTCTCCTCATGGGGAGGTAGGAAAGGAGACTGTTCAGAGCTGGACCTGGGAAGGGGGGCAGGATTTGAACCTTTTCCCTGTGCTTTCTAGTTATTTGCTCACCTGAGCTTTGGTTTTTAAAATCTGTAAAATGGGGCTCGCAGTCGGGAGGGTGCAGTGGGATCAGCTAAGTCAAGTGTTGGATTCAAGGCCAGACACCGAGCGAGAACTCGAGGTGTCCAGAATAGTAGAGTCTGGCGATCCAGCTGCCCCCGCATCGTTTCTGGGGTGACAGCTGGGGCGTGTGGGGAGGGTGGGGGTCTCAGAGCCAAGGATTGGAGCTTGGTCATCAGGTCATGGGTTCCATGGGGAAGATCCCCACCCCATTCCCACGCTCATTTTGACCCTTAGCTTCTGTGCTCTGTTGGGGAACGCTGGGTCTCCCCAGGCCCATTCTGGGGCTACCTGTTGGGAGGCCTGGAGGAAGAAGGCACGTGGTCTGCCTTACATCCTCAAAGCTCTGGTCCCTGGCACAGTCCACAGATGGAGGGGCTGACTGCTAGCCTTACCTGATTCTGCGTCTTCTACACACGTGATTCCATCCGGTTCTCAGAATTGCCCTGTAGGAGAGACGAATATTCCCACCAGTCAACGTCTCTGTCATGGCGGGACCTTGCTCCATCCAAACGGAGCCTCGTGTTCGCATGACTCCTCTGGGTTCTTCCACGTTGCCCCCTCAAGGCAGGGAAAGAGGCTGTGATGTGTGAGGGGTTTCCCGTTGCCCCTTGTTCACACTGGGGATGAGTCCTCAGTGGAGAGGTATACTGCCGGACTAGTGGGTGACTGATTTTGTAGGACTGGAAATGCCCTCTGTATGTCTGGAAAGAAAAACATAACACCTGCTACTAACATCTCAAAACGTCTGTGTGACACTTTCACCCTTAACACCCTCACTGCCAACATTTAGGATAAACATTGGTCAGCAGCCAATCTTTTGAACCCTCTCGCCGACAGAGGTGTTCTCAGACCCATGCAAATAGACCCTAAACAGTGCACATCTGTGTATCTGCATCTGCTTTCCTGCTGCAGGGACTCAGGACGAATTGGTCGACCAGGCGCAGTTTGATGGGCTCCTTTCTCCAGCCCTAGAACCGGTGGCTCAGGGACGTCACTGATGTGAGAACATGAGTAGAGAGAAGGAAGAGGCTTCGTTTAGTATACTCAGTATTTATGATGAACCAGAGGAGGGGAGGAACGTGCCAGAAAGCTCTGGCACGTTCCTCCCAGCATAAGCATCAAGCACAGTCCCAACCGGAGGGGGTGTATGGGATGCCCCAGCAGCCCCCCGGTTCCCTGACACGCATGGCCTGGTTTATCAGAAGATGAGCACTAGGACCCTGCAGCAGTGGGTCCTCCAGAGTCTAGGCAGATCTGAGCTCCAGGCCAGTAGGTTCCCCCAGGAGGAGCCACAAGCCACAGCAGAGCTGGGATCCGGGTAGGTCTCCCTTGAACCAGACTGGTGGTGGGAGGGGGGAGCTCTCCCTGGGAGAGGGGATCCTAGCACAGAGCTCTCCAGATCACACTGAATCCCCCCCCCCCGCCCCCGCTCCTGTCCATGTGTCATAGCTTCCTGCCAGGACCCGAGTTTGGTAAGTCCCAGTTGGGACGCGTGGGCAGGGAAGGTGGCAGCCCAAGGCTGGGCCTCGGATGGGGGACAAGGCGCGAGGCCTGGTGTCGGGGAAAGCAGCCTTCCCCTTGAATCCTGTGGTTCTGTTGCTGTTGGCCGCCCTCTCTGTGAGCTGTGAGCAGGGGGGCATTGATCTTTCCCTGCAGGCCGGCCTTGCCCTTCACCTCCGCCCAGTGAAGAAGTCTGGTCGTTTCTCAGGGCAATGGTAAGTGTCGTATTTTTTCTGCACTTGGGATCTTTGCCTTCCCCACTACCCCCCAAAGTAAGGAAAGGGGAGAGCCTGCAGTGTGTCCTCTCTCCCATAGGGGGTGGCTGTCCTGCAGCTCCCTGCTTCCTTGGAACTCGGCTCCCGGCTCTCCCTGCCACCGTGCAGGGCCTTCGGCTCATGGTGTCACCTCTTCTAGAGCTGTGTCCAGGGTGGGGGTGGCGCTCTGAGCCGGGCCCTGCTCTTACTGCTGGTGAGCAGCATTGTCTCAGGACGTTGGGTGAACAGTTAGGAATTCAGTTAGAGGACCGGGCAGGCGGTCACCCGTGGACGATGGGCACCTGCTTTCTCCTCTCCCCAGCCACCCATTCCAGATGAAGCCGTGGTCAGGTAGAGGGTCCCCTGGAGGTGCTGGAAGGTTGGCAGGCTCCGCCATGGAAATAAAGTCTACGCCGTTGCCATCAGCGGCCCGACTCACCGCGTGTACACGTGTGGCCACGGCTACATTAAGGTCTGGGACGAGAGCGCTCTACATGCCTGCAACAAGGCCCCACAGGCCCAGCTGGACTTGCAGGTGTGGTGGGTGTTCGGGGAGGGCTGGGGGAACCCCGACGTGACCTCTGTCATGGGACTTGGAGCCCGGGCCTCGAGCCGGTGATGTGAGGGTGGGGACTGTTCCTGCAGGACCATCAGAACTGCGTCCTTGCCTGCAAGCTGTTCCCTGACGGGCGGCGCCTCATCACTGGGGGTCTGTCCCGGAACCTGACGCTGTGGGATCTGGCACCCACACCCCGTGTCAGGGCACAGCTGGCCTCCACGGGCCCCATATGCTATTCCCTGGCGCTCTCCTCCAATGCCCAGATCTGCTTGGCTTGTTTCAAAGGATTTGTTGAGATTTGGGATTTGCAGAACCAAATCTTGATCAGGTACAGCCCAGGGGAGGGCTGGACAGTAAGGCCTTTGGGAAGGCTTGTGTGCCTTTCTGGACCTCCCTTGCCCCCCTGTGCAGTAGGACTAGGTGAGTCCGTGTGGAGAATAGATGTGGGGCACTCCTGGGGGCTTCCTGGGCCCAAAACGTCCTGGTGGTTAGCCAGCGTGTGAACCTCTGAGTTCTTCACCCACCAGGAAGCATGAGGTCCCCGAATATGGGTCCCGCTGTGTGGACATCGCAGGCAGTAAGTTCTGGACAGGAGGAGAAGACACCAGACTATATTCCTGGGACCTGAGGTGCTACCAGAGGTTGCAGCAGCACGAATTACGGCAAGAGGTGTCTGGGCAGCCACCAGGGGGCTGAGGGTGGTCCCCGGGGCGGGGGGCCCGGAGGCTGAGTCTCCCGAGGGGGTGTGAATGACGGGGTGGGCAGCTTGGAGTGCTGACTCCGGTCCTTCCCAACAGATCCTCAGCATTACCCATGACCCCAGTGAGGAGTGGGTGCTAGTAGGCCCGAGGACAAGCGATATCATCATTCTCCACACGCACCGGAGGGAGAAGGTTAAGGCAGTCCTTCGTAAATATGTCAACCACCACAACCTCCAGTCTGCCTCCTGTGGTGAGTGGAAGCCAGGCGACCCCCCTAGGGGTCCTGTCCCACCCCAGGATATCTGCTCTTCTGCAGAGTCGGGGCCCAGCCTCGTTCCAGGCTCTGTTCCTCCCTCTTAAGCCCCAAGCCTGGCCAAGTGGAGACGCAGGTGTCTGTGTCCCTGCCGCTCCCATCTGTGCACCCACGTCCGCCCTGCCCACCGCCGCCTCTCCCTCTGTGGCCTGGCGCCCTGCCTGTCTTCTGTCCCCGTCCCTCTCCTCTCTGGCTCTCTGTAACGGTGCCTTCCTACGCAGAAGAGCAGCTTGGAGACACGGGCAGGCAGAAGAGGCATGAAGCCCCATCTGATTGTCCTTTTGTGCAGTGACACGGAGCACCATCCCGAGTGTGGCAGGAGGATAGGGCCAGAGGAGGGAATGGTTGGGCTCTTGTCTCTGATTTTTATAGATGGGCACACTGAGCCAGAGGAAGAGCTGCTCTTTTCCTAGTCACCTTGGGGATGGAGCTGGGACTGGAATGCAAGCTTGTCTCTGGCCTCTCCACCTGCCTTTCCTTCACCAGGGAGCTATTTTGTGACCGCACTGGACGAGGCGATCCACTGCATAGCCGCACCTTCTCTACAAACGTTGTTTCAGGTATTGGGAGGAGGGATGTGCAGACCCAGGCTCTCAGAGCTCACACCCAGATCCCAGTGAGCCAGGTCCCGAGGACAGTGCCGGAAAATACCTCTGGGGTGGTATCTGGGTCCATTTACTATATCCAGGGGAATGAGGACTCAAGGTTCTGTGACTTCACAGGCTCCACCGTGAGCCCTGAGACCTGCCCCGTTGTCTCCAGACCGAGCCCTAGGTCTGTCCTTACCCTTGAAACAGCCCCAAGTGAGGCACTCAGCTGTGGCCCACGCCTGGCCCCTGCCTGTGGTCACTCTTCTAGCCTCCTTCCCCGTAGGTGGAGGAGCCTACGGCCATCCTGTGTTGTGATGTGTCTTCTGACAACCATTATCTGGTCACGGGTTCCAAGAACAGTGCCACGGTTTAAACCAGCTCTTGTACTGAGGTTTCCGTGCCGTGTTCCTGCTGGTGAAGACCCAGAGGAGGCTGGCAGGCTGAGGGGAGGGCAGCCTCCGTGGCCTTGATAGCGCTGCCTCACCCTCGGTGGCCGGGCCTCTGTCCATTCCCTCCCCCCCAGGACACGTCTCGCCTGTGTGCACAGGTTTTTATGATACGGCGTAGGGATTTTTCTTCTGTTAGTATTCTTACCACTGATTTCTGGGTTTGGGTGGGGAAACTTGCCTTTATAATCAGCAAAATAGAAGAGCAAAAACCAAAATGGCCTGATCATGTGGTCAGTTTTTTCAAAGAACAAACTCCTCGTGATGGATTGCTTAGATCCCACTCAGCAACTTCCAGGCTGGGGAAGGAATTTTACACCAGACTTAGGTTTTGTTTGTTAAGTGTAGACCATCAACACTCCACTCCTGACCCAGGTTAAGACTCCGTGAGCTGGTCTAACCATATCCCCAGGAAGGGCTCGTGCACTTTCTCTCACGTGCAGTTTCTCTCTCTCTCTCTCTCAGCTGCTGCTTGAGAATATCTGGCTTTACTTGAGTCTTTGGAAGGCCTGATTTTCATTCTGGCATTCTGTAATATTCAGTCTGGCCCTCTCCAGGTGGGAAAAAGCCGAGCTCCTGAAATCAGGCCATAGAGGCCTGCTTCCTTGTCCTTGCCCATTCTGCCTCCTCTTTGCTTGGTGTTGGCAGAGCTGAGGCAGCTAAAGTTGGTAGCTTAGGGTTGTCACTGGGAGGAGGTGCAAAGCCAGGGACCGAGCGTGCCATCCCGTGCACCGAGATACGGTCAGGTACCTAGTTCCTGCCGATGGATCATGAGTGAGGAATGAGCCTCGTTCCTGGACCAAGGCTAAAGGAGTAGGGGACGTCCCCTCCAGGTTCTCGGTCTCCTACCAGCTCCAGGTGAGGAGGTGGAGGCCCAGGGGCATTGCAGGGCTATGAGGTGGAAGCATCCTGAGAACAAGTGTCCACTTACAGATGAACGGACAAGCAAATGTGATGTGTCTGTAATATGCACACACACACAGGAATGTATGCTTCAGCTTTTAAAGGGAAGGAGATTCTGACACCTGCTGCAATGTGGATGAACCCTGAAGACCTCGTGGGGAGTGAAAGGAGCCAGTCACAAAAGGACAAATACTGTGATTCTACTCCTGTGAGGTCCTTCCATCACTCAGAGGGACGGACAGCAGAAGGGTGGTTTACAGGGAGCTGAGGGAAAGAGAAATGGGAGGTTAGTGTTTGGGGACAGTTTCACTGTGGCAAGGTGATCAGGATTCTGGAGCTGGTGGTCATGGGGACACGGTGGCGGGGACGTGCTCAATGCCACTGAGCTATACGCCTCAAGGGAGTTAAGATGGTATAAGTTCTATTATGTGTATTTTACGCAATTAAACCAACAACTAGGGAATTACAAAGATCAAGTTCAGAATAGTGGTAATCCCTGGGGAGGGAGGGAGACTGGGTCGTAAGTGACAAAAAGGGAGCTTCAACTCCATCTGCAGCGTTTATTTCTTCAAAAATAAAGTTTATCGGAATAAAAAATGAGCACCTCGGGGAGAACCTCAAGAAAGGGTACAGACAATCCACAGAAGGGGAGAGGATATTTGCAAATCCTATTTCTGGTAAGGGACTTCTACCCAAAATCTATAAAGAATCCTTATAACTCAACACTAAAAAGACAAGCAAACCAATTGTCCAAGGGGCAAAGGATTTGAATAGACATATCTCCAAAGAAGATACACAGATGGCCAGTAAGCACAGGAAAGGATGCTCACCATCACTGAGGAAAATGCAAATCAAATCCACAATGAAATACCACGTCACACTTGCTAGGACGGCTGGAATAGACAACAGCAAGTGCTGGTAAGGATGGGGAGAAATTGAAACCCCAAATGGTGCAGCTGCTTTGAAAAACAGTTTAGGTTGAACATTTTGAGCTACCAGAGTCAGCATGGGACCCGGCAGTCCTGCTCTTAGGCGTGTGTCTGAGAGAACTGAAAGAAGAAAAAAGCATGTAAGTGGGGAGGCAGTGACTGGAGTGATAAAAGAATTCCAAAATTTTTTGCTGGAAAAAAGGTAAAAGTCCTCGGGTGCTGGGCTGGCTCAGTCTACAGAGCACACCACTCTTAATCTCTTAGGGTTGTGAGTTCAAGCTCCACGTTGGGCGTAAAGATTACTTTAAAAAAAAAAAAAGATGTAAGTCCCAGTTAATAGTAGTCTTCATAAGTCAAATAGTAGCATTGGAATTTCTAGATTAATTACTAGAATATTAAGGGTACAGTTTCCCGATAGAGGGAAAATGCTGGCACAATGGAACATAATAACTTTTTTTAAAGATTTTATTTATTTATTTGACAGAGACACAGCGAGAGGGAACACAGGCAGGGGAAGTGGGGGAGGGAGAAGCAGGCTTCCCGCGGAGCAGGGAGCCCGATGTGGGGCTCGATCCCTAGACCCTGGGATCATGACCTCAGCCAAAGGCAGACGCTTAACTGACTGAGCCACCCAGGTGCCCCTTAATGAACTAGAACTTAAATAAAAACAGGCAGAACAAAAAGGGAAACCTTATTAAAATGGTAGATTTAAATCCAAACATACCAGTAAATTATATTAAATGTAAATAGAGTAAATATTCCTATTAATCTGTAGAGGTTATATGACTAGTTTAAAAATACCTCAAATATATGTGTTTAAAAGATATATACATTTAAAGATTTTGTCAGAGAGCACAAGCAGGGGGATCAGCAGGCTCCTCGCTGAGCAAGGAGCCCGATGTGGGACTCGATCTGAAGGGAGATGCTTAACTGACTGAGCCACCCAGGTGCCCCTAAAGGAGACATTAAAACAAGCATACAGAAAGTATGAAACTCATAGGAAAAAATGCTTCTACACACTAAATCAAAGCAAGCTGACATTATGTTACTATTAGACCACGTGTAGTCTAAAATTAAAAGCAGTATTCGCAGGAAAGGTGAACACTTCATAAGTGTTCATTTCCCAGGAAGATACAAAAATTCTATGCTTTATGCATTTATTAATGTAGCCTCAAAATATATACAAATTGACAAAATAGACAAATCTATCAATAACCAACAGTTGAAACAGACAAAAAAGATAACATTTTAAAAAAAGAATACAGAAGATGAACATTAGTAGGAAATGTAGTTCAATGCGTACAACCAGTACAGAATACGTATTTTTTCCCCACATACACAAAAAGCATTTACAAAACACGACCATACACTGAGCTATACACTTCAGAGGATTTAATTCTTATAGAATATATTCTATGACCAGGGTGCCTGGCTGGCTCAGTTGGTAGAGCATGTGATTCTTGATCTCCGGGTGTTGAGTTCAAGCCCCTCTGTGGTGTAGAGCTTACTTTAAAAATTAAAAAAGTAAAAATATATATCATATAAAATAAATATTTTATTGATGTGAAGAACAAAGGCAAAAATGTAGATAAAATTAAATTTCTTTATAACTTGCAGCCCATTGACAAATACTTGAGACAGGCAGAGTAAGACGTTCCTCCCGGAATTCCCAACTGTTTTACTGTCAGTGCTTTGCTAGAGGGAAAAACCACCTTGGCTTGACAATCTCTAGGCCTCCGGGATCCTGTAAATCTTTAACATACGAAAATGCTCTTGGAAACTTCCTTTAACTCCCCCAGCTCCAAAGTAGATCATCAGTTGCTCCTCAAGGTCCCACTGCAGCTCTTTTCTGCCCAAGAGTCCTGTTCCGGGGCTATAAAAAAACCCCACCTTTTTGCACCAAAAACCTCTCAAGAATTTTTTTTTGACCGTTGGTTCGGGAACCCCACTTCAAACCACATCACTATGACCACGATGCAACCAATTAAGATAGAAATGAATAATAAAACTAGAAATTTCCCTATTTTGGAAAATAAGAAATATACTTCTAAATAATGGGAAACTGAATCACAAAGTAATTGGAAGCTATTGTAAACCGAATAATCAAAACTTGCCGGGTTCAGCCAGAGCTGTGGGTAGAGCGAGGCCTCGCCAGGGCAGCGCCCCACCTTGCGGTCCTGGGCCACGTGGGGGGCCCGCGCTGCCTGCCCAGGTTGCCCCCCACTCCTCGGCCGGCTCTTGAAAGCCGGGTCTGGGATGGAGCGAGGGTACAGCCTCTGGAGACAGCCGAAAAAGAACGTGGAGACACGGTCTTGCTCCAAGTAGAGAGAAGTTGGGGCAAAGAGAAGCGATCCAGGAGAAGCACTTTCGCAGCTGCCGCAAAAGCAAGCGCACCACTCGGCGACGCTCGGTCCGTTTCCGCGCAGCAGCGCCAACACGGCGCGTTTTCTCACTTACGGCTTTTCCTTCTTGGCAGCGGGGCCGCGGTCCCTCCTCCCGCCTGCGTTCCTGCTGAATGAGGCTCCCTGCTGCTGGGGACGTGCGTTCCTCCGTCGCGGGCGTCCCGCTACCGGGAGGGCTTCTGAGCCCCCTCGCAGCAAGTCTTTCTGCACACACCGCATCGGAGCACAGCAAAATAGCCGTGCCCTCTCTGAGGCTCGAACTCAGGACCTTCAGATTATGAGACTGACGCGCTGCCCACTGCGCCAAGAGGGCTGCTGGAACTCAGCTCTTCTTTACCATTGAAGGGAAGTGCCTACGGCCCCTTCCACCGCCTGAGCCGCTTCCACGCGTCTGTCTCTCCCTGCAGCGACCCGGGGGTCCCCGCCCCGCAGCGGGCCCCACGCCGTTGAATGTACAGACACGCGGGGAAGGAGGGTCGGTCTTGGGAAAAGAACGGTCTCCGCGGACCCGGCCCGAGCAGCGGCGGCGGGCAGGTGCACAGGCTCCGAGGGTGACCCCACCCGCGCGCTCGGGGACTCGGGAGGCGCGCGCCTGGCTCGGGCGCAGGGCAGGTGAGAGGGGCCCTTCGAGCCCAGGTGTCAGTCCTGATGGCGCGGGGGAGGGAGGACCGCAGGCTCGCGGTGCTGACGGGCGGGGACAGAGGCTGGAGGGGGCGGCACCGGCTGTGGGTGGGCGGCAGGGGGCGCCCCTGCGTAAGGGGGTGGGTAGGGCCCAGATAGCAAGAGGGGTGGGGGACGGAGTGGGATGACGGAGAGAGAGGGGCTGAGAGCTGTTTGGGGCGTGAGGTCCTGGTCCTGGATTAGGGGTGGGAGTGAGGTAGGGGAAGGGAGAGAAGATTCCAGAAGACTCTTGGGAGGTGAATTCAGTAGGAAAGCACAGGGAAGAAACTATGGTTACCTTGGACTTGTCAGTTTATTAGAGAC